CATATAATTTGCAAAAGTAATGTCAAATGAATGAGAAAACAAGCCACAGACTGGGAGAAAATATTTACAAAAGACATCTGAAAAAAGACTTTTATCCAAAATATACAAAGAACACTTAAAACTATGGAACAATATGGAAATGAACAACCAGATTAAAACATGGGCCAAAGACCTTAACAGAAACTTCACCAAAGAAGACATACAGGTGGCATATTAAAACAACAATCAGGTATCATTACACACCTATTAGAATGACCAAAATCCTGAACATGGACACTACCAACTGTGGCAAGGACGAGGAACAAAAGAAACTATCATTCGTTGCTGGTAGGAATGCAAAATAGTACAGCAAGTTTGGAAGATGGTTTGGCTGTATCTTATAAAACTAAATATACCTTATCATCAGATCCAGTAATTGCACTTGTTGGTATTTATCCAAAGGAGTTGAATACTTATTTCTACAGAAAAACCTGCACATGGATGTTCATAACAACTTTACTCATAATTGTCAAAATTTGGGAGCAACCAAGATGTCCTTCAGTAGGTGACTGGATAAAGTGTGGCATATTCAGACAATGGACTATTACTCCACTAAAAAGAAATAGGTTATCAAGCTATGAAAAGACATGGTATACTTTAAATGCATATTACTAAGTCAAAGAGACCAATCTGAAAAGAATTCTAACTATATGACATAATAGAAAAAACAGAAATACGGAGATAGTAAAAAGATCAGTGGTTGCAGAGTTCATGGGGTGAATGAATAGGCAGAACACAGAAAATTTTTAGGCAGTGAAATTCTCAATATTATTAACGAGTGATACATGTCATCTTACTTTGTCCAAACTCATTGAATATACAACACCAAGAATGAAATGTAAGGTAAACTATGGACTTTGGGTGATTATGAAGTGTCAATGTAGGTTCATCAACCATAACAAGTGTACCACTTTGGCAGGGGATATTGATGAGGTAGGCTATACATATGTGGGTATATGTGGGGATATTCTGGAAATCTCTGTACTTTCTTCTAATTTTGCTGTGACCCTAAAACTACTCTAAAAAATAAAGTCTTAAAAAATACTAAGGGAGGACATCAAATAGAAGTTAGAGGGAAAAAGTTGTCCTTGGCTCTCCAGAAGGGTGAGAAGAGTGAGGGTTCCTTCAACAAGGAAAAAAAAAATATTAAAGAAATAAGCTGAGAACAAGCTAGTTGAATAAACAAATTCAAATGAAGGGTACAATAAAAAGATGTTTTTGCTTACACTACATGTCAGAAAGAGTAGGAGGAGGAACAGTAGTTGAACAGAGAGAGAAAGCAAAAGAAATGGAAAAGATCAGAGCCCTAGCACCATGAGCATCATAGTCCATGCTCTAGGACCCTCTTCATTTGGCTTCAGTGTCTTCCTGTGAAGAAGGAAAAAAAAAAATGTTTGGAAACAAATTTAATGTGCTTCTCTACAACTTCCACACAACAGTCATGGTTATATCCATAGTAATAAAAGCAACCTGTCATTAACTATAAACAAGCACACACATCTTATTGGGGTAGTGGTTGAACAACTCAGTAAACTTACTAAAAATCATTAAATTGTTCACTTACAACAGGTTAAGTTAATTGTATATAAATTATGCCTCTGTAAAGTTCTTTTAAAAATCTATCTCACTCGGGCGCCTGGGTGGCTCAGTTGGTTAAGCGACTGCCTTCGGCTCAGGTCATGATCCTGGAGTCCCGGGATCGAGTCCCGCATCGGGCTCCCTGCTCGGCAAGGGAGTCTGCTTCTCCCTCTGACCCTCCCCCCTCTCATGTGCTCTCTGTCTCTCATTCTCTCTCTCTCTCTCAAATAAATAAATAAAATCTTAAAAAAAAAAAATCTATCTCACTCTTCTTTATGGAACTTCTTCAGATACTCTCTACTCTCCACCCACAGAAAAAAAAGCCCAAATGCCTCTACAGAATATCATTTTTCAAATTTATTATAGTTCAGTTTGTCTGATGTTCCTTTTGAAATGTGGAATCCATGATTAAATACATCATTGCCATCATGTTTTACTTATACAGAATTAATGATTTTACTACTTAGCTGTGTTGGTATATTTTATTACTGTAGCTTATAACTATTTAGCAAATGATTATATTAAACATAAACTTAAATCCCTAGACTTTTTTACCCCCTACAACCAACTTCCAAGGAAATTTACTTCCACTCACATAGTATTCAATATTTTTTCATTTTTACTTAAAAATTAATATTAATGAACATTTGAGAAGAACAGAAAAGAGGGAAGAACAAAAACCATAGCTGATAATGTGGTATATTTACTTCCAGCACATTTTATATGAATAATCATATCAGAAAAAAATAATATCAATTTCTATGGCAATCCTTCCCAGGTCCAAGAAATGCTGTATTTAATACTCTATATAATAGAGTCTATTACATCACTCTGTTTTAGTCCCTTCACTGTTCTTATCACTATCCAAAACTTTATTTGGTCACTTTTTCATTGCTTACCTTGTTAGTATGCACAATTCTTGAGCTTATAAGCTTTATTAACCTTTCTTCCCCTAGGATCTCATCTAGTTTTGTAGTTTAAAATTAACCCCATCTAACCCCTAGCCATAACTCTAAACCTAAAGTCATCCCTCTGGAGAGGTCTCTGAACCACAGCATAGTAGGCACATACACTTGCACCGTCCCTAACCCCAACCCTAACCCTAACCATTATTCTGGTCCTAAACCAAATCCTAATCCTAGATCTGAGGGGGTGGGGAAGATTTTGTACACACAATGGAATATTACCCAGCCATAAAAAAAGAATGAAATGGTGTGGATAGAGCTAGAGCATAATGCTAAGCGAAATAAGGCAGTCAGAGAATGACAATTATCATATGACTTCACTCATACGTAGAATTTAAGAAACAAAACAAATGAGCAAATTGGGGGGGGTTGGGGAGGAACAGAGAGGCAAACCAAGAAACAGACTTTTAACTATAGAGAACACACTGATGGTTACCAGAGGGGAGGTGGGTGGGGGATGGGTTAAATAGGTGGTGGGGATTAAGGAGTGCACTTGTTATGAGCACCAGGTATTCTATGAAGTGTTGAATCACTACATTTATGTACACCAGAATCTAATATTACACTATATGATAACCAACTGGAATTAAAATAAAAACTTTCAAAAATAAAATAAAATAAAATAAAATAAAAATAACTCCATCTGTATGCTGAGGATTCCTAAAGTTATCTCTCTAGCCCAGACCTCACTCATGAACTCTGGACTCATATGTATAATGCCTACAGACACATACACACACACAAACTTCCATTACATTTGTAGTGCATACACACACATCTGTATACATCCATATATTCCACATGTCCAAAACCAAAATTGTGGACTCTCTCTACTACCAACATTCCCCATCCATAGCCTTTCCCATCTCAATTGATGGCCATTCTATCCTTCAGGGGGTCAATCTTGATTTCTCTCATTCTCTAACATTCCATAGTCATACCATTAGCAAAATTGTATTGACTGTGCCTTCAAAAGTATGTCCAGAATCTAGTCAATTTCTCAGCATCCCGACTGTTACTATCATGGCCAAGTCTCCACCAACTCTATCCTTGCCTCACCCTCCACTATAGTCTACTTGCACATTTCTGAGCGATCTTTTTAGACATAAGGCAAGTCACATCAAAACTCTGCAATGGCTTTGTTTCACTTAGGACAAAAAACCAAAATCCCTTCTTTAGCCTTTGTCACCTCTCTGACCTGTATTGCTCACTCCCTTTTGCTCTCACCTCACTCAAGCCTTCTGCATTTTCTAAGTGTTCTTAATGTTTTGTTTTTAACAACAACAAAAAACTTTTAAATGATGAAACTATGAAAAACTAATCTCCCTTTTTACCCAAATGATTTCTCTTTAAATACAGAATTAAATGCAGAGCCAAGTCTTTAGTAAAAAAACAAACAAAAATAGTAAGTTCATGGGAAGAACTTGTATTTTAGAGCCCTGAATGCCTGCCTATGGCACTGATGAAGAGTTTGATGAAGACAGGTATCTAAAATAAATCAAAATGCATGGTGTGGTAGATGATTTGTGGGTTTGGGATTGAAAAATAGTGCTTAAGTCTTCTCTACTACTGATTGTGAGACCTTCACTAAGTCATTATTCTGATTCAGAACATATGTAAAGATGAACAGATTAATCTGTAAAACTCATTATAAACTTGTGCTTTACAAGAGAAATACTTATAGATACCTACCAAAAATACATTAATAGGTCTGACTTATTCCCAGTAATGTTATTTAAAGTGTTTGATCAGTCTGCACATATAAAAGAACGCCAGTGAATAAACCCAATACCACAAATGTTAAGGGACTAGTCACAGACTGAATTATATACAATTTACAAAATCCTCTGAAGTGAACTCAAAACTGAGGGGTGGAGAGGCTCACTTATAAGAACTGCAAGGGCAAAGAAGCCACAAACCTAAGGTTCCTGAAGAGATTACAGATTTTGAATGTTCAGACTATATATCTGGACCTAGGCTTGGAGCAGATGTCTTCAGGTGATGACCCTGGGGGAGGAATTAACTGTCAAGAGGTCTTTGGGAACTGCTCTTGGCTGAAACAAACCGCGAGTTAGAAAGGACGAACCACCTTTCGAGAGAAAGCTGGAAGCTAAGTTGTAGTTTCGTCTTCTTAGCGGGTCAATTCTAGCAATTTTATCGCCGAACCCGAACCACTCACCGGGTCAACTGGTCTACAAGGCCTTGCGTTAGGAACAAACGGCCCACACCCGGCACGGTCCGACAAATCGCTAGCTGTTCATCTGCTCCGGAGTCGGTTGCTAGGGAAACGAGGCCAGACTCTGGACTCAGTTCCGCAAGGTTTTCTCCCGGCAGGCCGGAGCTTCGGGGGCGTGGTTACGTGAGTGACGCACGTAAAGGGAGGGACAGAGGCGAAACAGGACTCCCGAACGGGTTACATTCGGGGGCGCATGCGTGCTGTGCTCGGCGGCGGATACTTGGAAGCCCTGTTGCTGGTTTTGGGGACGGTGTTGCTATGGCTGCTGCAGTTGCACCCTTAGGCGTAGCTCTGCGAGAAGCCACCCAGCGAAAATTGCGGAGGTTTTCAGAGCTGAGAGGTAGCAAAAAGGGCACCCCAGCTATCCCCGGCAGTGGACAGGGACGGTGCTTTGCGTTCCGGGAAATTTGCTGGACTATCACTTCCTGTCTGCTTCTCACCTTCGGGTTTAGGACACAGGCCCTGCCGTAGTTAATACTCCTCTTGATTTTTTTTTTTTGTCTGTCACTGTCCTTTCTTTACGTTATGTTGTTACTTTATTTCTTTGACTTTATTCCTAGTAACATATATATATGTTTAAAATAAGAGAGAAGGAAATAATAATTATTATAAAATAAGAGGGAAGGAAGAAGAAAAAATGTATTAATCTGACTAGTGAAGCTATAAATCCAAGTTAAGCATTTGGTTAGCTCATTAACAATAGTTATTTAAAATAAATCTAAATGATCTAAGTGCTTTGACCAATACATACCTGATTTTAGCCTTCTACAATCCCCTTACTACTTCACCAATTTGTTCCATACTGTGAATGCAGACTGAGTAAAAAACAAGACATGAAGGAATTATAGGTTAAAATTTAAAAGGGGTAGTTTGTATCAAAAAAAAAAAATTAAAGACTGCCATTTGTCATTCCTTGTACAATTATCTAATAAAATTAGTCATATTTTTGATGAAGTTACTGCATTAAAAATACAGGAAATAATACTTGGAAGACAGTAAGATGTTCAGGACTATTAGATTTTGACAAATCCTGTTTGTTAACTAATAAGTATCCTTATTCATCTTGTTTACCAATAAAGAAGAGTTTTCAACGTCTACCAAAAATTCAGTCTGGTTTTTTTGTTGGTGGTGTTTTGTTTGTTTGTTTTAATGAGTTCATCAAGGAGTTGGGACCTTTTCTGTTATCCAGAATTTTAGATCATACTTCAAAGCCTTTGTAAACTTGCATGGCTCATCTTTTTTTTTTTTTTTTGAGTTCAGCCTGTCTTTATTTTTTTTTTAATTTTATTATGTTATGTTAATCCCCATACATTACATCAGTAGTTTTTGATGTAGTGTTCCATAATTCATTGTTTGCATATAACACCCAGTGCTCCCGTAATTCATTGTTTGCGTATAATACCCAGTGCTCCGTTCAATATGTGCCCTCTTTAATACCCAACATCAGGCTAACCCATCCCTGGCTTATCTTAAGGTAATAAAAAATAAAGTACCTAAATTGAAAAAACAGCAACATTGTAGGAATGGATCTTTGGGTTGAATTGAACTTAGCCAACAAACACTAAGTGGGTCCTGATATATAAAAATTGATTTTCACAGCTGAAGATTCATACTCTTTTTGTCTCTTGTTATTTAAGAATCAAGGTAAATTTTAGCAAGGCAAAAGTACTTCTCTTAAGAAACGTAACAACTTTCAGAATATGTGAATAAATGAACTGTGAACCATAAAAGGAACAAGTAATCTAAAAGAGGAAAAAATGCAAAATTTGTGAACAATCTTCAATAGAACTAGTTTGAATTATACTGGCTAGGCACTAATTATCCCCTAATTCTGAGAAGATAGATTTAGGAAGATAATCTTTTTTTTTTTTCTTTCCAAATAGGTAAACCTGTAACAGCTAGAGATTTTTGATACTTATTTCCCTGCTTTTTCCACGCAGGCAAACCTGTGGCAGCTGGAGAATTCTGGGACATTGTTGCAATAACAGCAGCTGATGAAAAACAGGAACTTGCTTATAAGCAACAGCTGTCAGAAAAGCTGAAAAAAAAGGAGCTACCCCTTGGAGTTCAATATCATGTTTTTGTTGATCCTGCTGGAGCCAAAATTGGTACTCTCTATATGGTCAGATTTAAATCATAGGTTCTGGGCATAACGATCACTGAAGAAAAGCTTTCCTATGGCTCACAATTTATGAGCTCTGTATCTTTCTTTCGATAGTCTTTCCAAACTTTAAAAATTTAATGTAAATTTACAATTTTTTTAAGAACGATAAAAGGCATAACATTCTGTTCTTACACATTGTGCTTACCATGAAAAACTTGCAGAATGTTATTTAAAATAATTTTATTAATTTTAATAAATTTACTTAGATGGTGAATATTCTTTTGGACTTCGTCGGTAGGGCTCTTAAGGTCCCTCCCAGCTCCATAGTTCAAATTTACACGAAGATTGCAAATCAGCAAAAAAAAAAAAAAAAAAAAATACATACACACACACGCACATAAACTTGGCTTCTTGGAACCACAGTGCAGAAAGCAAAAGAGCACAATCTAATGGCCTGAGTATCATAGATACGTACTTTAAAAACCCAGTTTAAGTCAACTTTGCCTTTGACCTTCCATTGCAAATAAAAATACATGCTATTTTTCTGGGGGCCACATTCTATGTGATACTTAAAGCTGAAGCCCCTTGATACCATACAGGGTATCTATATCTGACATTGGCATTGATCTAATTAACCTGTGTTTTAATCCTCATAATGGTACAGTCAGTACTTTTATGATTCCTATCATATAGATGAGAATCTGAGGCACAGAGAGTTAAATAACTTGCCCAAGGTAACTGGTAAGTGTAGTTATATTTAAGATCTTTTTAAATCTAACTCAAATATTTGGTTTTGTCATGTGAGAGAATTATTTTAATGGGTTTTTCAGTTTGTAATTCCAAATGAATGTGTATACGTACTGTCTTCTTGTGTTGCAAATTGTCTAATTTATCACTTCTTTATTATTATTTTCAGGAAATTATAATGCTCATCATTGATTACCAAGTGCTGATCTCTGGGTTTCATTGCTAATTGTTTATTTATTTAAATGCTATGGAACGTGTGTTTAATGTGATTCTTTTGCCCATACCTTTGCTCTCTGCCTAGTTAATTGTAGCCAAAGGCCCTGTCTTCAAAGTTATAACACCTAATTTTACCGTAATTACAAATTTTCAGTAGGTTTCTATGAAATTAATTGTGTTTTTTAACTTTTATTTTTAAGGAAATGGAGGATCCACACTTTGTGCCCTTCGATGTTTAGAAAAGCTATATGGAGATAAATGGAATTCTTTTACCATCCTATTAATTCATTCTGGTAAAGTTATACATTTTCTTTTCACTAATTTACATTTTACCTTTGATACCTTAGGGACTTTTTTCTACCTTGCAAATACTTCCTTCTCCTTTTTTTAATTTTTGTCTTTGAAGTTACTCTGCTTTGAAAACAAATATTTCATGCTTTTCTTGATATTTGAAAGTTGTAAGCAGCATAATGTTTATTCACAAATGTATCTTTAAAATTATAGATCACATACATCATCAACTTTTCATGGATATTGTTTTTAGTATGTATATAGAAAATTATTTTCCTAAAATAGAACTCATCAAAATAATGAATATTTCTTGATAATGCTTGAAAAGGGATTATTATTGTAGGGGAGAGGCTGACTTAGCACTGGGATTCCCAGACTTTTGCCAAAAACCTTCTACCGTGAATTTTTATTTGATTATTAGTGGCAAAAGTTTACAATCCTTAAAAGAGTTTAAAAACAAAAGAAAGGGTGGTGACAAAACATGGAGAGAACGAGAAAGTATGTAAGAGGGAAAATTAGAGGAGGACATTTTAAAGCAGAAAAGTGGGAAAGAAATAATCTCAGAATAAAGGGTAGTTTTCTTAATTCAGTAAACTTAGTTGGATGAAAATTTGGGTTATATGCAAACCTCTGTTATTTTTCTGAATGTACTGGAGCTGATAAAAATGTTATTATGGACTGGCACTAGTTCAGGGACAGGTATTTTAGAGCCACTCATCTACATGGCTTCCAAGGCACTTTTTATTTCTTATGATTTATATACAGAACAATGATTCTTTATAAAGACGGCATCAAGTAAAGCATCCAAGTTCTGATTTTAAGACTAACTCTAAAAAAGTAGAAAAATTCAAATTTATAGCTCATTCCAAAACCAATATTATTTATTACCAATTTAGTAAAAACTAAGTTAGACACTAAGAAAATACATAGTTAAAAAAAGGTAATTCTTAAAATGCTACACTTAAGTGTTGGCTAGTCTTTGAAAAAGGAAAAAAGTAGAAAGTACTAGCTCTCATTTGTTGAACAACATACTGTGTACAGGTGCTTTACATAAAACACAATAAAGCAAGTATTCTACATTTGCTAATTTGGAGTAAATCCAAAGATAAACAACTAAAAAGTGGTGAACCAGAGTTTGAACCTGTTTTTGTCTGACTCTTTCTACTATCTAATGCTGCTTTTCAATATAATTAGTTACATAAAAATGATGTAAACTATTTAATGTACTTAAGAGAACATGCTTTTCAAGGAATTTTTAAAAAGTCTTAAGACTCAGAGGGAAAAAGCCTGTTTAAATTAAAAACAAGTATAAATTTTAAAACGCTTTTTAGTAAATGCACCGTTACTTCCTTTGAGTGTATGTAATAATTTGAGGAAAAACACTGCATCTGGAAATTACTGTTTAATAATTATATTTTGGAATTGGTATTTTAGTTTTTTGTGACTTTTTTCCTTACTATGAAGTGGATTCTTAATGTAGGATTTAAAACATTGTTGCAATTTCAATTTATTGTTTAAAATATAGATATAAGATCATTTTTTAGCCCGTGGTTCTTTTTACTGGTTGTACAATTGATTCAAAACAATTCACAGCCTCTAAAATATAATAGAATTCTTTCCTAATCTAACGTTGCATTATATCAAATCACTACAGGAGAATTGCTCTTGAATTTTTAACCTGGAATTTACTATTCTTTCCTGAGTTTTACAGTACTGTATTATATATATTAAATATCTTTAGAGATATTTTGCATTGTGACTGATGCCCCTGGGTTTTTAAAATCTTAGAGACTTATAAACATTTTAAAACAGTTATTTTGTTTAATTTTATATAGGTGGTTACAGCCAACGCCTTCCAAATGCAAGTGCTCTGGGCAAAATTTTCACTGCATTACCTTTTGGTAACCCCATTTATCAGATGTTGGAATTAAAACTAGCCATGTACATTGATTTCCCCTCACATATGAATCCTGGGATTCTGGTTACCTGTGCAGATGATATTGAACTTTATAGTATTGGAGAATGTGAGTTTATTAGATTTGACAAACCTGGCTTTACTGCTTTAGCTCATCCTTCGAGTTTGACTGTTGGTACCACACATGGAGTATTTGTCTTAGAACCTTTTAATGGTTTAGAATATAGAGACCTTGAATACAGGTCTTGCCATCGTTTCCTTCATAAGCCCAGCATAGAAAAGATGCATCAATTTGATGCTGTATATAGACCTGGAAATATTTCTCAACAGGACTTTGCTAGGGGTGACACTCCCTGTCTTAAGTTAGACTCTGAGTATGTCTACACAGACAGCTTGTTTTATATGGATCATAAGTCAGCAAAAAAGTTACTTGCTTTTTTTGAGAAAATAGGCACATTGAACTGTGAAATAGATGCCTATGGAGACTTTCTGCAAGCTTTGGGACCTGGAGCAACTGTGGAGTACACCAGAAACACATCAAATGTCACTAAAGAAGAGGCAGACTTGATAGACATTAGGCAGAGAATATTTCATCTTCTTAAAGGAACCTCATTAAATGTTGTTGTTCTTAATAACTCCAAATTTTATCACATTGGAACAACTGAAGAATATTTGTTTCATTTTACTTCAGATAGCAGTTTGAAGTCAGAGCTTGGCTTACAGTCCATAGCTTTTAGCATCTTTTCTGCAATACCAGAATGCTCTGGTAATACATCCTGTATCATTCAAAGTATACTGGATTCAAGATGTTCTGTGGCAACTGGCTCAGTTGTGGAGTATTCCAGATTGGGGCCCGATGTTTCAGTTGGGGAAAACTGCATTATTAGTGGTTGTCATATCATAGCAACAGCTGTCCTGCCTGCATATTCTTTTGTGTGTTCCTTAAGCTTGAAGATGAATGGACTCTTAAAGTATTCAACTATGGCATTTGGAGTGCAAGACAACTTGAAAAAGAACGTTAAAACATTGTCAGATATAAAGTTACTTCAATTCTTTGGAGTCTGTTTCCTGTCATGCTTAGATATTTGGAATCTGCAAGTTACAGAGGAACTGTTCTCTGGAAACAAGACATGTTTGAGTTTGTGGAATGCTCGTATTTTCCCAGTTTGTTCTTCTTTGAGTGAATCAGTTACAATATCCCTAAAAATGTTAAATGCTATACAGAACAAATCAGCATTCAGCCTGAATAACTATAAACTGTTGTCCACTGAAGAAATGCTTGTCTACAAAGATGTAGAAGACATGATAACTTACAGGGAGCAAATTTTTCTAGAAATTACTTTAAATGCAAAACAGTCTGATTTAGAGACATCTTAAATATCCTACACCTTGCCATTCTTGATTGAGCAAGACTACAAAAAGAAGAGTTTCTATAGATTTTTGTTTGTTTCTTTGAAGTGAATCAATGAAAATTATGTTAACATAATTGTTGTAGCATAATATTAATAACACAAAAATACAAATCATCCATTTTGGTGAAAGAATATTTCAAGGCTGTGAGCTCAGAAAAGGGATTTTTTTGATGTTTAGCACTATTTTAATTTTCTTTTTTATTAAAGATGGATTTGTGGAGCACTGCTGTGTTCATATAGTACTATAGTAGTTTTTTTTTTTTTTTAAAGATTTTATTTATTTCACAAAGAGAGACACAGCGAGAGAGGGAACACAAGCAGGGGGAGTGGGAGAGGGAGAAGCAGGCTTCCCGCTGAGCAGGGAGCCCGATGCGGGGCTCGATCCCAGGACCCTGGGACCATGACCTGAGCCGAAGGCAGACGCTTAACGACTGAGCCACCCAGGCGCCCCAGTACTATAGTAGTTTTGAATAATTTTCTAAACATACCTTTAGAGTTTTTCCATCTTCTTTTTGGGCTTTGGTTTCAGTACTATTCTAAGTGTTTATTGGCAGTTCTCTCTTTGAGCATAGTAGTTCTATTCTGATGAACTGATAAAAACAGCATACTACGGGCGCCTGGGTGGCTCAGATGGTTAAGCGTCTGCCTTCGGCTCAGGTCATGATCCCAGGGTCCTGGGATCAAGTCCCGCATCGGGCTCTCTGCTCCTTGGGAGCCTGCTTCTCCCTCTGCCTCTCTCTCTCTGTCTCTCATGAATAAATAAATAAAATCTTAAAAAAAAAAAAAAAAAAACAGCATACTACAAGGTCTTCAGAGCACTGTAAGAATACTGTAAAAATACTTTTTTGGAAAGAAATCCATCTCTCACAAATTCTGATAAAATCAATTCCTAAAATACTGTGATTATCTAATTAATAAATAATTAGATGCAAATAGCTCTGAAATTGATGATAAAAATCTGTCTCATTTATTGCTCTTACCAAAATAAAACTAAAAGTGTATATGTGTTATTTTACCTTATAAACTTGGACATATGTTTCTATATCTTTTTTAAGATTTTATTTATTTATTTGACAGGGAGAGAGACAGCAAGAGAGGGAACACAAGCAGGGGGAGTGGGAGAGGGAAAAGCAGGCTTCCCGCTGAGCAGGGAGCCCCAATGCGGGGCTCAATCCCAGGATCCTGGGATCATGACCTGAGCCAAGGCAGATGCTTAACAACTGAGCCACCTGGGCACCCCCATGTGTTCCTATATCTTAAAATTTTTCCCTAAAGTTCCGTCCATACAAAAGCATACACATACACAAAACTCAAATATCTGTGTGGGGCAGATGGTAGGAATAATTGAGATTCACTGATAATCCTATAAGTTCATTTTGGACATTATTTTTATCCTTTTCTTAATCCCTTTAATAGAACTATTAAATTACCAGATGGACTGATTTTACTATTTCATATTTTTTGTCCTTGTGCTGGTGATGATACTGAGAAGCAATAATTGACCAAAGGTAGGCAGCAGGAAGGAGCCTGAAGGATAGAAAATGAGAAAATTTACAGATGACAAACAGCTTCAAGAAAATAAAAATTGGCTGGAATCTCAAGTTATGTGTTCCTACTTTGCTGTAAGCATGCATGTGAAATGTCTTTATGTCAAAGTCTAATAATAATTAGAGAAATGATTTGTCAGTTTTGTGTTTTAACATGAATAAATTGAAATAAAAACTAGTCTGTGCTAACATGTCAATATAAAAATAATTGGTAAACTAGAAGTGGCTTGCCTGCAACCTTCAATTAGGCTATTTCTGTGTTTTGTTTTGTTGGTTTTTTTTTTTTTTTCCTTTTAAGGTTCTTTCCAAGGAAAAACTAAAGATATAGCTATTGTTTAGCATTGACTGATTTACTTGCAGAGCTTTCAGAAGATATTATGTGTCTGTCATTGATTAAATGTTTAATACTGTATTTCACCTAAGTGCCATCAATTATTAAGAATTACCATTATTTTATGTTCCACTAAAAAAAAAAATACCAATAAAATATGGCACAGTGCTTTCTTTTAGAATCAGACTCTTCTGAAACACTTTTCAACTCAGGAATTGTTGATACCCATGTGCTTCCACCCAGTACCATCTTCTGTGCTATCAAAGGTATTGATAAAGCTGTATGTCCTAAGAGTGTCACCACCACACTGCTGTCTGGATTGACTGAAAACTGTCAACACCAGATACCTGTTCTATAAGTTTTGATGCTGATGCTTTACTGTTTGGCAAAATTCATTTTCATTTTTGTCTTAGTGTAATCGAATGCCTCTAGAAGATAGTTGACTTCTATTCAGAGTCAATGGGAGGTTTCTGACAAATTGGTGGTCACTGTTTTAATCGTAATTCTGCACGATGTATGGATTCTAGTTGCTTTGAAATGTTATCAGTTCCAAAGAATTTGGCATTTTCTCTTGCCTTGAGATGCATTAGTTGGGGTAGTACCACACATGTTCCATGAACAGTATACCTAACTCAACCAAGGTGATAGTCCCATGCATATGTAAGTAAAAAGTTGAACATTTCCTCTTGATTTATCATTTTTATTTCATAAAATAACAGGCTCTAAATTCCATATACTCTCAAGGTTTATAGAGGATAGCTGTTATTTATAACTAAATATAGTCCATAAACTTATTGATGAGTTAATAATGAACAGTGACCAAGGAAGGCATGGGGAAAAAAAAAATCCAACATTTGGTGTTAATCTACCTCAGGCATTTTTTCCTACAAACTAAGCAAAACAGAATAAAGCATGTATCAGTGTATACTAAGTTGAAGTAAAGCTTCAAATATCCAAGTGATATGCTGAAAAGCACAAAAATTTGATAGTATTAATCCAGAATTAATTCCTATAACCTGTGATGATCATTCATCTTCTGAGGCTAAGCAACATTCCTATTTATATTAAGATTACCAAAATCAGCATGGAGCCAAAATCAAAATACCTGCTGCAAAATGTATGAATGACTGTCACAGACAGCTAGTAATTGGTTTACTACACAAAATCGGGGAGGGTATTCACATACACTGTGATGTCCTTTGGATTTGAACAACTACAGTCCCAGAGTTGAGGCACTTTGATGTAGTCTAGCAGAATTAAGATAGAAAGAAAAAGATTTAAAAATGTTTTTAATTTGCTCAAAACTCTGTAAGGATTTCAGATGCTTTCTTTGTTGTGTACCTAAATAAAAAACATCTCAGATATATCAAGAACTAAATTACTAAAGAAAATATCTTTTTTAAATTTACTTGAAAGGTACCTTTTCTAAATTCACTTAGTACAAAAGAAAAAAATTGAAGTAACTTAGCTGCTTAGTTTAAAGTAAATCTTTAGTGCCTCTAAAATTTTGTTTAGACTGACAATTTCTATTAAGGTTGAAGAACACAACTTTTATTGTTTATATTTAGTTAAATTGCATTATTTCTTGTATTGAATTTTGTTTAAGATTATTGCACATTCTCCTTCCCTCCAATACCAATGTGCTAAACTCTATATAACATAATGGTGTTACCTGCTCTCAATTGTTTATATTTACAGAAATTTCTAACTTTTTTTTTAAATGAGGGAGAAAACATCAGTCCCATCTGAGAAAGAATCAGTTCCTATGCTTAGCAGAGCTATCTACATGAGCCACAACAAGCCAAACTTGGCACATCACTCAACTTGCCAGTGGGCTGTAGTCTAGTAGATCACAATTTTGGGTCAGGTTAAAAATTTAAATACAAAATCTGGAAAACAGGTGCCTGGGTGGCTCAGTTGGATGAGTGTCTGACTCTTGGTTTTGGTTCAGGTCATGATCTCAGAGTCCTGAGATCAAGCCCCACCTCAGGCTTCATGTTCAGCACAGAATCTGCTTAAGATTCTTCCCCTCCCATCCCCTCTGCAGCTTCCCCCTGCTCATGCTCTTTCTTGCTCTCTCTAAAATAAATAAAATCTTAAAAAAAAAAATCTGGGAAATAGTATAAAGGTTCCTCAAAAATTTAAAAATAGAACTACCCTACAATCCAGCAATTGCACTACTAGGAATTTACCGGAAGGATACAAAAATACTAGTGAAAAGGGATACATGCACCCCAGTGTTTATAGCAGCATTGTCTACAAAGTGTCCATCAACTGATGAATGGATAAAGAAGATGCAGTGTGTATATATATATACACACACACACAATGGAATATTACTCAACCATAAAGAATGACGTCTTGAAATTTGCAGTGATGTGGATGGAGCTAGAGAGTATGCTAAGCAAAACAAGAGAAAGACAGATACCATATGATTACACTCATCTGTGGAATTTAAGAAACAAAACAAGCATGGGGGAAAAAGAGAGGCAAACCAAGAAACAGACTCTGAACTGTAGAGAACAAACTGATGGTTATCAGAGAGGAGGTGGGTGAGGGGATGGATTAAATAGGTGGTGAGGATTAAGGAATACACTTACTGGGATGAGCACAGGGTGTTGTATGGAAGTGTTTAATCACTAAATTGTACACCTGAAACTAATATTATACTATATGTTAACTAACTGGAATTTAAATTCAAACTTTTTTAGAAATCGATTAAAATGGGCAGAGAGTCTGAATAGACAGTTTCTTTGCTTCTCCTGGAGCTTCAGCCTCAGGGGCAGGCTTCAAATTTGTTACACATCTAGTGGCTCACCAAGCTGCTCTCAAGGAATGTGGGCTATAGATGCCATCTTGGCACTCCTTGCCTCCCTCGCTCCAGTTCACCAGTATCTCACAGAAAAGAACCTATACACTTGTCTGGAGCCCCAGTCTTGTGACTTCTGCCTAAGGGACACCTCCAGATTGCCTGGCTCTGCTGGCCAGTGGGGTTTTTTGTTGCAGTCGCATAGGACTATATATTTGCATACTATTTTTTTTTTAAGATTTTATTTATTTATTTGAGAGAGAGAATGAAATAGAGAGAGCATGAGAGGGGGGAGGGTCAGAGGGAGAAGCAGACTCCCTGCTGAACAGGGAGCCCGATGCGGGACTCGATCCCGGGACTCCAGGATCATGACCTGAGCCGAAGGCAGTCGCTTAACCAACTGAGCCACCCAGGCGCCCGTATTTGCATACTATTAAGAGCTGCGGCCTGAGGGTCTGGCTTCTAATCAGCCCAGATCTTGGCATTGAGATTCTCCCCTTTGGGACACTGACAGGTTTAGCACATTCTTAAATACTAGGTGTTATTAAAAATATAATAGGCTACTTGGACAAGCACAAAGAGTTGAGAGAAAACCAAGAGC